CTGGTTTAACCGACTGTTTGTCTGCTGGTTACAGCGTTCCCATGGACGGGAAGCGACAGGTCTGCGAGGATGCCGAGGTCCTTCCTGTCCTCGTCGGTCTTCTACGGGACAAAGACGTGGAGGTTCAAGCCAACGCTGCAGGAGTCATCATGAACACCGTCATCATTACCACCGGTACAAACGCACACACCGGCTTCCACAACCCTCAACTCAGAAACTCCAAACTTTGAATCAGGATCAGTTTATGTAAAATCGGTTTTTACATCCACGATCAGTCTGAAGGTATCGACCCAGCTTCAGTTTAGTTCCATGTTTCAAACACAGAAGTATCTGTGACTGCAGGTAAGCAGCGGTGCCTGGACCTGGACGTCCTCCCCGTCCTCCTTGGCCTGCTGTCTGAGAAGCACGGGGACGATGACGAGGAGGAGATGAAGAAGAGGAGGAAGGCCCTCATCATGTACGTCCTTCGTGCGCTCACCTCATTGGCTGAGGCTCCTAACGGCCGCCGCCTCCTCCTGGAGCAGCTCCCCCTGCTGGAGAAGAAGGCTGAGGCTGCGGAGGTGGACCAGGACATCCGGCGGGCCACTCAGACCGCCATCCAGGTCATCACCTGGACTCCATGACCTCTGACCTCCAGAGGTCTCATGGAGTAAGAAAATAAAAAAGCAAAACTCATCACACATTTTCTGATGTCATTGTTAAACATCACATGACCAGTCCAATCAAATCTGGGTGCATCATGGGATATTTCTATAAATGTGTTATAAGAGTAGGTTGTTTACTTTAACTGCTGAGGACATTTACTCTTCAGTGTTCTGCTCATAAATGCCAGCATGTGTTCACTGTGTGTTTTCTGAATGTAGAGCTTAAACCTGCATTTGTTCTAATGTCCAGCAGGGGGCGACACCTCCGGCTGAGTAAAGAAGTCTGACGTATATCGTGTATCGTTAATGTCTGTGTGAATGTTACAGATTTGTAAGCGATGTGTTTTAGTGGGAACTATGTTTACTGTCTGTCCAATAGAGAGGCGTTACCACGGCAACTAAGAAGGGAACAAAGCTTCAA